CATTGCGAATTCGCATCCAATTCCATATCCGTAGGCTCTTTGTGAGTTTCTTTCACCAGATGTTTACTTGTACATCATCTTCATGCTTTTCCCCCAAAACTGGATTAATTCTATTATAAGCTGCATGCAATCTCCCAATGCATATTCATGGGTTTCTGTCTGCTCAGAGCTATTACGCTGGGACACACATACACACACACTGTGAATCTCTGGGCATAGTTCCAAACAGCTCTCCCCATGCTCAAAAACTTTTTAAAGTTTTGTGTTATATTTTTAAAGCTTATGGAATATTGTATTCTTCCCCATAACATACTTATTTTTGATAGGATATGAATATACTTTAAACCACACACTAGCAACTATAACTGACATCCCAGGGCAATAACCCATGTCGGCCTGTGGCTCCTTGTGCCCCGGGCACTGCTGAGCTCCCCTGGGGTAGTGCACGCTGCTTGAGGAATACAGATCTAGAAACCGCTGCTTTCTTCTTTCTTCCTCCCAAGCCCCCAATTCACCATCGACAATATAGGCGATGCGTTCCTGTTGGATTTGGGTGTTTTTTAATTGCACTAGATCAGGGGTCCTCAAACTACGGCCCGCGGGCCACATGCAAATACAAATATTGTATTTGTTCCCGTTTTGTTTTTTTACTTCAAAATAAGATATGTGCAGTGTGCATAGGAATTTGTTCATAGTTTTTTTTAAAACTATAGTCTGGCCCTCCAGCGGTCTGAGGGACAGTGAACAGGCCCCCTGTTTAAAAAGTTTGAGGACCCCTGCCCTAGATGGATAGCATGTTGCAGTTGTGGGGATAGCAAAGCACAGTCGGTCCATCTGGAGCGCAGAGAGGGAAAGCGACTGGCCTAAGGCCCCAGAGCACGTTGGTAGTAGAGCTGGGACCTGTTCGTTCTGCTATATCTTTCTTTGATGTTTGAAGATACCCTCTAGTTCTCAAATTATGGGATTCTAAGTAGGGTATAGAAGTTAACCCCCATGCGCTCTTCAAGATACTGTCTCTCGTAGAATCCATTGTTCTTTGTCCAAGTAGCTTTAGGTCCCTCTTTAAGATTTCACTGAGGTCCTAGACTCATTGAATTCATTATTATCTTCTGAATAAATGGCATCAATTCTTATAAGTGATTATTTCTTGGTGATTGGATATACTAGTACACTGTTAACGCAAATACCATTTTCAGTGAGATACACTCTTCCTCCCAAACCTACAGGCCCCCCATCACCCAGGGCATCGAAATCGTCCCCCTCCTGCACCTGCCGCTCCAGGATTCTGGGGTCCAGGCTGGGTTTGCTGCGTGTCCCCGCAGGAGGTCGGTCATGCCCTCTTTGGCCTTTGTCACGTGATTTGAAGACTAAACAGAGTGTTGGTTTGATTCTCACTGCAGAGAAAATGACATTTCTATCATCTGTAGGTGAGACAATAAAGACCCAGAGAGCCAAGCTAGGTCCTAAGCTAAGATCCAGCAAAAAATTGGCGAAGCGGGACTTGAACCTGCCTCTGTGTCCAAAGGCCGCATTCTTTTTTTAAACCCACATTCTTTTCCTGATGTGACTCCACCTCTCATTCTTTTTTTTTAAATATACTTTATTGATTTTTCACAGAGAGGAAGAGAGAGGAATAGAGAGTTAGAAACATCGATGAGAGAGAAACATCGATCAGCTGCCTTCTGCACACCCCCTACTGGGGATGTGCCCGCAACCAAGGTACATGCCCTTGACCGGAATCGAACCTGGGACCCTTGAGTCCGAAGGCCGATGCTCTATCCTCTGAGCCAAACCGGTCAGGGCTCTGCCTCTCATTTTTACACCGGGCAGGCACAGGGCCCGCCCTCACGTCGCGGGCACGTCGCCCACGATGTTAAATAGAACGGCTCTCTCCCAAACAGCAGCTCATGGGCAGTTGCTTCTGATCATGTATCTGTCATCTGTGCCTTTCTTAAAAAAAAAACTTGTATTTATTTATTAGAACCTATGGAACCTCTGGAGGAAGTGAGCTCTTGGGGTGCTGCCCTGTCATCTTTGATTTCTCTTGACAAGGCCTCTTCCAAGTTGCAATCAAATGTTCTCTCCTAACCTTTCGGGCTGGCTGAAGGAATCACTCTGGTTGCGCGCCTGACGGTTTGATTCCCATGCTCGGCTCCGTCCGTGTTTGGTTTATTTCATCTCATCATGGTTCCCATGGACTCCAGCGGTGCCCTCAGAGCCCACTCCCGCGCTGGGGAAGGGAACACTGCCTGAGGTTTGCAGAGCAGAATAAAACGACGTTTCCCTTTAATTAAGGATTTGACTTTCTCAGAGGAGAAGGGGTGTGAACTGTGACAACTGCCTTGTTCTCCACAGCCTGCCTCCTGTCGCATCGCATTTCTCCTGCGTTCCCTGTTTTCCAACTCGCCTCGCCCCACGTAACCCTGTCCCTTTTACCCTCCTGCGGGCTGGGGCGCCCCCGCCAGCACCCCCAAGTGCTGGGGCTTTCGGCCTGCCAATTACCTGCCCCGTGGCAGCCAGGCGGAGACCGGCCCCAGCTGGAGCCCAGCTGCTGAGAGATGAAGAATTAAGACATTTTCCTTTCTTCCGAGTCCTCGCTAATTCTTCCTGGTGGTGATTAGCCAGTTATTTTTAGCTCGATTGAAGCTCCCTGGTTAGTATTCAGGGCTGGCTCAGGCAGCACCGAGGCGCTCCGCATGTCCCTGCTCTGGTTCCGTTGGGTCCCATTGAAGTGGATGCAAAGAGCTTGCAGGACGCCCCTCCCCCGCCTCCCAGGTGCACCTCCTCCTGCTGCTCCCCGAAGTGCTGGCTGCTGCCCAAAGGGCCCGCAGCTCCAGGGCCCAGGACAAAGTCTTCCAGGAAGGATCTGGAAAATGAGCAATTTGGAGCCATATGAGGAGACAGAAATAACTGCACTGGGGCCAGGCACCCTGGTTTCATTCTGGACTTTGTCACCAGCTCTCTGTGGAGCGCTGGGCGGGTTACCTGCCTTTTCCGAGCCATCCGTCAAGCAGTGTGGCTGCACCAGCTGGCCCCCCGAGTGCCTTCCAGGACTAAGATACTGTGGAGTCATCAAGTCTAAAACAGGAACTGAATGTAAAGCCACCCACGCCTGTGGGGACAGCTTGAAAGCAAAATGCAGGTCTTTTTCCTTCTCACTCCACATCCCTGCCTCAGCCTCCTGCCTCTCCATACTGATCCCTGGTGGGCGGGCCTCCCGTAGGCCTCCCAGGGGCGCTGGGCATGCGCGGAGGCAAAAAAAAAGCGTGTCTGGGGAGATCTGGGAACCTGGGTAAAGTTCTGCTAATGAGATGGAGGAAGCCATGGGCCCCAGAGAACAATCCCATTCCATTCTGTTTAACCAGCCTAGGAGTGATGAAGCCTAAACTCTGGATCTTGCTATACTTCCTCAAGCCAGTGTAGCCTCTACGCCCGCTCAGAGGGATGTGTGCGAGGCCGCTTTTCCCAGCAGTTCCCCTGGCTCTGGGCAGGTGGCCGGGCCAACCCTCCCCAGGGATGCTGAGTCCTCCCTCCCCTTGTTTGTCACATGTGGCAAATGGTCATAGGGTTAAACATCATGAAGTCACATCTATCGTTTGGCCCACTGCCTTGCACACAGTAGGAACCACCGCTTTTTCATTGGTTCTGGTCTGAAAGTCATTTATATTAGCCGACTTTTACTGCATGCTCATGCTGGGCCCAGGAGTGTGCACGCCGAGTGTGACCAGCGCTTTAAAATGAGGACCACGGTCCAGGCTAACAATTGAGAAATGCAGGGGGAAGCCACTTGCGTCAGCCCGCACTGTAAGGGTGAAGCTGGACCTGAACCCACACTCTCTAGGCAAGAAGAGTCTGAGCTTTCAACCAGATATGCATACGTGTATGGATAAAGAGGATGTGGTGCATATAAACGATATTACTCAGCAATAAAAAGGCATGGAACCTTGCCATTTGCGACAACATAGAAGGACCTAGAGGGCATTATGCTAGGTCAGTGGTCAGCAAACTGCGGCTCGCGAGCCACATGCAGCTCTTTGGCCCCTTGACTGTGGCTCTTCCACAAAATACCACGTGCAGGCGTGCACGTACAGTGCGATTGAAACTTCATGGCACATGCGCAGAAGTCCGTATTTTGTGGAAGAGCCACACTCAAGGGGCCAAAGAGCCGCATGTGCTGGGTGAAATAAATCGCACACACATATCTCAATATAAAGATGATTTTTAAAATGTGTACATCTTCCAGGGTTGCACTCACTTTTAAAATTCCTATATAATGTTTTATGACACTTCTATCTCAATGAAAAAATTCCCAGAAGTCCTGCACAAAGTAGTGTTTGATGGATATTTTGTTGACAAATTGAAGCGACAGCCAATCCCTTCCTCACACCTTTCATTCTGGCGTCTCTCTTGTACAGAAGCTCACAACGAACTCCTCTACATCCCTAACCCAGGTCTGCATCTCCCCACCTCATTTGCAAGCTCATGGGTGTGATATCTGCACAGTTTCTGTTCAAGCCAAGTCAGCTGTGGACTCTGCCGTTAAAGGTCCCTTCCCCACCAGGAGGTCTCCTGGGCTTCGTCCCAGTCAGAACCCGGGTCTTTCCTTCGCTGTGTGCCACCTGCACCCCCTGGCCCCTCTCCCAGTCTTCTTTGAGGACACAGCTCTCACTGGGCTGACCTCTGGCCCCTCCATGACCAGGCCACAATATGATGATCATTTCTCTCTCTCTCTCTCTCTCTCTCTCTCTCTCTCTCTCTCTTTCTCTTATAGTCATTGTGTGTTTATAAAATTAGTTGGCATTTCACTGTATTTTTTCCATCCATCTCCCAAGCCCCTCCCCTTGGTAACCACCAGTGTGTCCTCTGGATCTATGGGTCTGCTTCTATTTTGTTTTCTTTATTCACTTGTTTTGTTTTCTTTTAGATTCCACATATAAGTGAGGTCATATGGTGTTTGTCTTTCTCTGACTTATCTCACTTAGCGTAATGCCCTCTAGGCCCATCTATGTTGTCACAAATGACAGGATTTCATTCTTTTCTATTGCTGAGTATATAGCACATCTTTATTCATTCATCTATCTCTGGGCACCTAGGTTGCTTCCATAGCTTGGCTGTAGTAGACAATGCTGTGATAAATATGGGGGTGTAGATATCTTTTCGAATGAGTGTTTTTGTTTTCTTCTATCAGTACCCTGAGTGGAACTATGGGGTTTCTGGGGCTATGGTGGCTCTGTTTTTTACTTTGGGGGCAATGACAGTCACTTCTGAAATAAGCAAGAGCCTAACAGGCATGGGGACCGCCAAGCATTGCTAACCCTCGGCGGTGAGTTCACCTTTAAAAGGCTCCTGCTGCTTCTACTGGGGTTGTACTCGATTGACCTGTTATCCCTCAGGGCAGTTAAGGACCCATGTCTGGGACAAAGACTCCCAGTACAGCAGGCTGGCTGACTCTGCAGGCCTGGGGCGGGCAGGACCAGGTCTCTCCGGCTGGGATCCCTGGCAGCCTTACCCTGCCTTACCTCCCCCTCTCCCTCTGTTCGGAACATGACCCCACCTGCCACTGCCGGGAGAGTTCATGAAGCCTGCTGTTTGCACAAAGGCTGGGGAGAGGCCAGCCGAGGGCATCTTTCCCTAACGGCCCTTCTGCAAGCAGGTCCCGGAAGGGCCCCCAGCTGGCTGACTCTAGCCCCCATTTGTCCTGAGTTTTGGAAGCAAAGGAAGTTCTTGTTAATCCTCTAATGCTTGGGACTACACATGTTGTTGCAATCATAAACAGCGCCCAATGCCACAACAGGTGCACCTGAGCACTTGGCTAAATAATATATACAGTCGGCGTTGTTTCCTATTCATTCACCCAGCAGGCCCCTGAGCAGCTGGGGGGGGAGGGGAGCAGTGGGGCAGAACCCCCAGGTCGTGTTGCTGCTGTGATAGAATCAGCGAGGGAGGGGCCTCACCTTGGACTCCGGGAGCACAATGTAGATGTAGACAGGTATGTGCATGGCAATCCTAGGTGCTGCGGGGCCCAGTTCCAACACCAGTTTCCGGCTGTGTGCCCTTGGGCGGGCCGCTTCGCTGTTCTGAGTCTGTTTTCTCACCTGCTAGGAAAGCACTAATATTTGGGTAATTCTGATGAGCAAGTGAATCAAGGCCTGGGTATAGGGCCTGTGCTTCTGTCAATACTCGGCCCACCGCCCGGGGTGCTGTTTGGAAAACCTGTCTCCGAAGCTTGTCCTTGGTCAGGGCCCCTTGCTTGGGCCAGAGTTAGAAGAGAGTTACGATGGTGGAATGATTGCTTTGTAAGGTGTCTAAGTGTCTCATCGCTGCAGTGCACACCTGAAACTAATGTGATATTGTATGTCAAGTGTAATTGGAAAATACATTATTTTTTTAAAACAAGAGTTATGAGCCACCTCGCACCCATTGAGAGGGCCACTATAACAAAAACAAAACGGACAATGACAGGTGTTGACAAAGAAGTGGAGGTGCTCAGTAGGTATTTACCGAAACGGAACAGCAAAACACCTGGAAGTTCCATCGCATCTTTATAAACGATTGTTGCTATTGGCCACTACCCTCATGGCAACTCAGACCCTTACCTGGAGGAGCACACAGCAACGCAAAGAAGTGGAGGTGCTCAGTAGGTATTTACCGAAACAGAACAGCAAAACACCTGGAAGTTCCATTGCATCTTTATAAACGATTGTTGCTATTGGCCATTACCCTATTGCGACTCAGACCCTTACCTGGAGGAGCACACAGCAACAGCCTTTATGTTGGGAAGATGGAGGTTAAGACACAGTGGGCGAGAAATCCAAGGATGCGTTCCATGAGGATGTTCATGCTATGGGAGGTCAGGAGTGGATGTCTGGGCTCAAGATCAAAGAAAGTGTCATAGAAAACATGACTGGGTCTGGAGAGACTTGTCATTTTAAAAGGCCATAAAGAGAGGGAACATTCCTGAGAAGGCAAGAATGAGCTTGGCATGAGCGTGGAAGAGGGCAAAGGTTCTGGCTGGCAGGAGGAGGTTGACCAGGTGGCTGCCTGTGCGCTCTGCTCCCGGGTCTGCCCCTAGCTAGCCGTGCTTTCATTTCCTCTCCTATCGATGGGATGGTCACAGTGACTATAATAACAAGTACCTTAAAACTAATAAGCATCGCAATAATCTACTTCATAGGATTGCTGTAAGGTTGAGATGACTTAGTATATGGACGTACCTAAAAGTATAAATAGTGTCTGTTACCATCCAACCCCATTCCTTGAGCTTCTGCTGTGTGGCAGGCATCAGCATGGTAGGAATGAAAGATAAGCTGCTTCCTCTCAGAGATCTCCTGGGAAGGAGAGGGAAAGAGCCAGGTCAGTCAGACACAGCACAATGGCAGGTGCTAAGTACACAACCGAGGGCACTAAGAGACTCAAGGGCAGGTTACCTCTGAGCCTGCCTAAAGGCATTCCTAGAAGACTTCTCAGAGGAGGTGACAGCTGTGGAATCCACAGTGAGACGTTTCTCAGATGAAGAATGGAGAGAAAGGGCGATGGGGGTGGAGGAACCACCATGCACTAGAAATGCCAAAGGCAGTGGACAGGAGGCGGAAGGAGTGTGAGGCATGAGGAGAATGGAGATTGGAGAGTTAGGTCAGGGGCGGGTCTGGAAGACCTTGCGGGCTGCGGGGAGTAATTAAGGGCCTTAAGAAAGGGAGTGAGCGGGTTGGTGGAGGTGGGATCTTCACATGAAGGAAGGAAGGATGAGAGAGCTAATCTCCATCCTCTCTCTGAGAAAGGATGAGTCCCCTCCCCCATCCTCCACCAGCCTGCCATGCTCCTATATCCATACCAGCCCCAGCGCTGCAGGGAGGGGCATGTTAATAGACATACCTGAAACCTTAAATCATTTATTCCACAGGCCCTGGTGACACGGAGAGCTCAGATCCCAAGGCTCAGCCCAGACTGCTCAAAATGGGACAGAGGGGGCCTGCGAAGCCCAGGCCCCTCTCCTGCAGCTCAGGCAGACAGCACCGGTCCCTCCCCGGCAGAACAGAAGCCACTTGTGCACAAGGGCAAGTGCCCTAGGTGGAGTGGGGTGGGGCTTGAGGTGAGGCACTGTCTTGGGCCCTCCCTGCCTCCTGTAGAATCTGTCTCCCCAGTCAGTCTAGTCTCCTTGAGAGAGATGGTCACGAGTTGCATGGGAGCAGCCGGGGATCGGAGGCTGCGAGCAGAGACCTGGCAGGACGTAGCAGAGGGGCTCAGAGAAGTCAAGGCAGCTGTCTTTTGCCCTAGGTAAATGGGAAGGGGATGAACAGGGATATAGGACCTTCTGCCCAAACTACTTCTCTACTGTGATGCTAACAGGCCCTACCGTTGACTGGTCCTAGGCCCTCCGCCTTTCCTCTGGTGGGTGTGTTCACGAGGAGAGCCAAGGGCAGCTGGCAAAGGGAGGGGAGAGGAGGGGGGAGAAGGAAGAGGATGGGCACATTGGCCATTAGTTTATGAATAATTGAGCGCTGACTCTATTAGAAAATTGACTTTGAAAATGATTTGGCCAAGCCGGGGCCCAGGAGGCTCCATTCTATCCTCGTCATGGAACCATGGGGCCAAAAGCCAGGTCTGCAAAGTGCTTTCCTAAATGGCAAAGGCTATGCCCAAAGGAAGGTGTTCCGGGGGGACAGTCGCCCCTGGGCAGGCAGTCCTTCAGCCACATTGGCATGAGGAGGGGAAGGCTCTGGGACCAGGGCGCACGCAGCCCCCAAGGACGTGGTCTACCAGTTCGGTTGGTCTGCCAGCTTAAGGGCCTTTGGCTGAAAGGCCCTGGATTTGGGAGCCTGGGGTAGAGGGGACGGGAGGAGGGCTTGGCCTCTTCCTTTGGTTTTTCTTTCAGTCCTATTTGCAGGCTTTCATGGGAATTAGATCAGGGTAGGGGTGATATTTGCTGCAGGTAGAGACTTGCCGTCTCTTGGCCGTGTTGGCACAAAGCCCCTATTGTGAGCGAACCAGAAGGCTGGGCCGCACTCCTTTAGCATCCTCGGGCATGGCAAGTTGGGTCTAACTGAACACTCAATCCGCCAACTCACTGACTAAGGAGCTGGTTACATCTTTTTTTCCCCTCACCTGAGGATGTTTTTCCATTAATTTTAGAGCGAGAGCAGAAGGGAGGGAGAATGGAGGGGAGAGAGTGAGAAACATTGATGTGAGAGAGACAGCACATCAATCTGCTGCCTCCCGTACTTGCCCAGACTGGGCCCAGGGATGGAGCCTGCCACTGAGGTATGTGCCCTTCACCGGGAATTGAACCTGTGACCCTTCAGTCTGAGGGACGATGCTCTAACCACTGAGAAAACCCAGCCAGGGCTGGTTAATTCTTTCGTCTGTGATAGCACCTCCTTCGCCCACAAAGAGGCGGTCGGGTTTGCAGGAGGCAGACGGGGCTCTCTGTCAGACCTGTCGCTCTGGAAAACCGCTGACTGCCTCCGAGCTCCTGTTCCCTCTTCTATGAAAACAAAGGGACAGAAATGTTCCCACTCGGAATGGTTGGGAGGAACCTATAAAATCAGAATTCTTAGCGTGTCCGCAGCACAGTGCCTGACGCCAGTTGTCTTCCTCCTCGCAAAGCCAGTGACACCAGCCTCTGTCTCTTGGCAAAGGGACTGTCTCCTCCGGGGTGGATGTTCCCAGGTGGGAGCTGCTCTTGGCAAAGGACGTCTGTTGAATGACGTTGTTCTTTGTTGTCATCCAACAGACACTGAGGGGCCTGAGCAGACACAGGTGTGAGAGGTGCGGTCCTTCAGCCTGACCCCCCAGGAGAAGATGCTGAGGAGAGACGGTGGGGCAGGGTTGGCAGTGAGCAAGCCTTCCATCGCGCTGGTTTACCTGAATTATTGTTTAATTCTCCCAGTCATTTGGCTTTGATAGTTGTGGAGCCCAGTCAAAAAGAGGCAGAGCAAACAGAGCGGGGCGTGGCTGAGAAACAGGCAGAAGTCCCCGTCCCCCGGGTCGCCAGCCACATCAGGGGCTGCCTTGGCTGGAAGACAGTGCCCGACGGGAGACTCGGGGCTCCTCAGACTTCACCCCATGCCCTCCGGCTCCCCGAGGTGCTGGTGAGGAGGCAGCCCCTCCTCCAGGTCGCTTCCCTGGGCCGGGCTTCTGTCTCCTTCGGGGCAGCCAAGGAGATGAGCTCATTTCCAGAACCCCAGAGGTGGCTCTGACCTCATCTTGCCAGTTACTGCTGGAGGGGGGCCGTGCAAGCCAGGCAGGCCCCGTGCAGGCACCAGGCCAGCCTCGCATCAGGCAACTCTGCTGACTCATCTCCCTCTTCCTCTAAACAAGCCCTGGGGTTGGCATGCAGGAAGCAATCCCCGGAGTCTGATGGCTGAGGGCTCAGGCCACCTGCTGAGCTGGGGACAGCAGCAGGTTGCTGCAGGAGCCATCACCCACCTGCCACTGACTGCACAGGGAACAAAAAGAGGTGCTCACCCAAGGATTTCAGGGCTCCTCGTACAAGTAGAAGCAAGCCTATCACAGGAGGGACTGTTGCAACAGGAGAAATCCGCCTTGCTTGAGAAAAATGGACAGCTTGGCTAGCCTTCAAAAATGGTGCTTGGTGCATGGTAAAGCTTAGTGGCTTCTTTAAAAGAAAAACAGACAGACAGAAAGAAAAAGCCACACATTAGGGTTTGAAACATAAGCACAGAGATGTTTAAAGAATAAAACAATAATTCCTTTCTCCCGTCCCTAGATATCTATAGGTGGTTAACAAATAAAAGTACTTGCTTACACGAAATATAGGTACAAAATGGTGCAGTTCCCACTCCCTTCCTTATTCCTCTCCCAAAGGCGCTGCTTTTCAAAGTTTCTGTCCCAGGGGAAACAAGTGATGTGTGTGCCTACATATCTGTTTGTGCTTAAATATTTGTAACACGCCGGAATGGCGTCAGGCTTGCGCAACTCCGTGGGATACCAGCCCCGCTGTGCATGCTGGCGCCTCGGGCAGGGGCGGCATTCCCAGGACGTGCAACGGGAACGGTGCCCGATCAGAGTTACGAGATGCGGCAGGAATATTGTTTCCTCTTCGTAATCTCTCCCGGAGCTCTTTCCAGATCAGCACATTGATCTCTCTCGTTTATTTTTTAAATCAAACTTCAGAGATCCCATTGTTCGGCTGGACCATAATTTACCCCACCAGTCCCAGTGGGTGGACAGTTCGTTTCCTTCCCCCAGTTGCAGAAATACTCCGACTAATATCCTCGTGCTGATATCTCAGCCCACCTTCCAGAGTGTCCATAGAATAGATGCTTAGCAGTGGGACTCCTCTCTCCAGGGGCACCTATGTTTTAATTGAGGGGTGATGTCTACCCAGTAAGTCCATGATAAGTAACAGCTACCCCCAAGGAACAGAAGAGCTTCCCTGGCTGACTTCTCCCCCGGAGTCAGGTGGCAACGGCCCTGAGCCTGGGCCGGGATCCCTTATTGCTCCGCAGTATTGAGTGTGTGCGCACGCAGACGGGGTGAATGGGAGGGAGGTGAACTGGATGAGAAAAAGAATAAAGGCAGTTCTTTGAACTTTGAAAAGGGCTGTCACCCTAACCCTCGATGATGAGAAAGGAGAACAAAGGGGCATAAAGCCTGCATTTGTAGAGTCCTTGAACCTCAGCTGGGGCCGAGGAGGAGCTCAGACACCACGTGGGAGCTGGCCCCGGGCTGGAGGTTTTATAGTGTTCGCCAGGGTTTTCTCAGGGGCTCCATTACTCAGTGTGCGTTTCAGTCACCGACTGCCGCTTCCCGTGACAACGGTTTATTCCCTCTCATGGTTCTGTGGGGTGACTGGGCTCAGATGGGTGGTCCGCACTTGGGTCTTTCATGTAGTGACAGTCATCTGTGGGCTGTCGTTTTGACTGGAATTGCCCAAAGGAAATTGTTACTCCCTCCCCTCCCCCCAGCTTCCTGTAGATTACTGTCCTACAGAGATGGAGACCTGGATAAACTCTTTAAATAACTGTAGACAGCGATCACATACCCCAAGGCTTCAGTCTTCTCAGGCGAGCCTCTGTAGCACCTTCTTTCGTTTCTTTCGTTCTGTACTGTAACGTGGTTTGCAGAAATTTCACTAAATGCCCTTCTCTCTCCCAGGCATGCTCAGTGTCCCACTGAAAATATGCTTAAAACTCAACCTGCTCCAAACGGGCTCTAACCAGTGTGAACTCCCATGAGACCCCTTGCTCCCCTGCCAGCACAACCTCAGACCACAGCCAGGTCTGGAGGAGCCGTAGTCCACTGACAACTCAGGTTTCACTCGGATCCTCTTCCATGCTGAGGTCTTCTTTCTCTAAGCAGCTGCCAGTCCGGCTCCCTTATAACCGGGCTTTACCTTAATCCTCTTAAATCCCACCCAGTTCCTTCAGTTCAGTGTCCCAGCCATCGCTGGGAATTCTCATGGCCGTGCTCTCTTGACCCGGCACCCAGTTCCTTTCTCATCTCAGAGCCAGCACCCCAGAGGCCATCCGGACACCCCCTCCCAGTCACCCCCGGTATTTTCCCCAGGGCACTGCCTCCTGCTGGTGTTGCGGGATCTGCTTGCTGTCCAGCTCCCCCTAGAACAGTGATGGGGAACCTTTAGAGCTCGGCGTGTCAGCATTTTGAAAAACCCTAACTTAACTCTGGTGCCGTGTCACATACAGAAATTTTTTGATATTTGCAACCATAGTAAAACAAAGACTTACATTTTTGATATTTATTTTATATATTTAAATGCCATTTAACAAAGAAAAATCAACCAAAAAAATGAGTTCGCGTGTCACCTCTGTCACCTCATTGTCCATGGGAGGAAGCAGGAAGCCATCCAAGATTCTGAGTGACTTCTCAGCTTCGACATTAGAACTGGACTTGCAGTTTTCAAGAGCTTTCAAGGCTCACTCTCCCTGCCTGCCTTCCTCCACACTCTGGGGGATGTTCTGGTGGTGAACAAGGAGGCTGAGAGAGCCTGGAAGGGCAGGCTCACACAGCCAGAACTTGAACTCAGAACAGCTGCCTTCACCCATTGGGTTGGGGATGACAAATGCACTTCATTTCAAGAGCCAAGTGCAATGAACTGAGGCACCATTGTGAGAAGGAGTCTAAGGCTACATTCAGGTTTAGTAGCAAGAGTATGTGATTGATTAGTAATGTCTGCCACAGGCCCAGGACGGGGCATGGCAGCATTATGCCATCCCGGGGGCTGGACAATATTGTAATGCTAGGCTCCTTATCCAGGAATCCTTCTCGCTCACCACTCCACTGCGAAAGCCAATTCCTACATTCCTGCCTCAACAGTAAGAAGCCTTAGGGGAAGGCTGCCAGGCGCTGCCGAGTTGGAGGGGAGCAAAATGTTGTTAGAAAGGGACTAAATGCATTTTTAAAAAATATGTTTTTATTGATTTCAGAGAGAGGAAGGGAGAGGGAGAGAAAGAGAGAAAGATCAATGATGAGAGAGAATCATTGATCGGCTGCCTCTTGCACACCCCTCACTGAGGATTGAGCCCCCAACCCGGGCATGTGCCCTGACTGGGAATTGAACCATGACCTCCTAGTTCGTGGGTCAATGCTCAACCACTGGGTCACACCGGCCGGGCAGGAAGTAAATGCATATGTGGTTATTCCAAAATCTTTGTCCCTCACACAGGGCTTAGTACCCCCTCCCTTAGGAAGGGCACAAGTGGGTTTATGAGAGGAGGTCAAATACGCCCAACTCACTTATATATATTTTTTGAGGGATTACGCGACCTCTGGACAGACTTACTTGGTTGTGTTCTCCTCTGAGTCCGCTGAGAGCAGGAACCAGCCCTGGAACGTGCTGTGTGACGCTGGGACTGGAGGAGTATGTGCTGCCATGACCACAGAGCAGAGAGCTCATCTGCACGGAACACGCAGGCTGGGCCACCGCGGCCGGGCCTCCCAGGAGTTAAATGAATGAACCCGCAGAGGCTCCATGAGTCACGAGCTAAGGCCTGTAAAATCATTTGCATCGCAGGCCTCACGCGGGCACGGTGACAGGCATTTCCATGAGCACCCATCTGCCTGGATGTGCCCTGCACGGAGCTAAATAATCTGGGGCTTAGATGTGCATGTGGGTTCAAGGAAAGGAGGCCCCGGCGAGGGAGACAGACTAGCCACCCCTGGCCCGGCGCGCGCCCCTGCTCCCGTGCTTCTGCCCTTGTCTCCCTTCCCAAGAGCCGGCGTGGGTTATGCCAAACGATTTTCTTGCAATTCCCTGGTGCTTTGCGTCATTCCACGCCTCCATGCCTATGCTAACCCTCCCAGGCTACCTGGCAAACAGCTCTTTGTGGTTCGAATCCCGTCTGTGCCCCTGAGCGGCCGTGAGGCCCTGGGCACGTGATGGAACGGCTGTTTCCTCATCTTACAGGGAGATAATAATAGCTTTGCCTCCTGCAATTGTTGTGGAATGAAATGGGTTCATACGGATCATGTGCACTTAAGAAGCACCAGACAAGAGTCACTGAGGATTATTGTTTCTCATCCTTCAAGACTCCACCAGAACATTATTTCCACCAAGAAGCACTGCAAAAAATGCCCTCCAATCGAAAGACAAAAGGTTACCTGGAAAAGACATTTGAAACACATGACAGGGGGCTGATTTCCTTCATTTATAATGAGCAAGTACCTGCGGACCTGCCTCTCCACTTTCTTGAGCTACTTCCCATCCTACCCCAGCTCCCTCCCATCTCTGTCCTGACCCTGACCTCTAAAGCATGAAGGTCACTGTGGCTTTGGCACCAACAGCCTGAATGATTCCAATAACTTAACCCAAGAGGTCAAGGGAGGCGGAGTGTAACCAGTGTAATGCAACCGTGAAAACACGTGCACAGAGGCTTCGTGTGGGGTGGTACGTGATCCCCGCTCTGCTGTAACCCCCTGCGTGACAGGTAACCGCTGGCCCTGGGGGTAACCGGGTACACAGCGTCTGAGATTCCTTCTGCAGGGACAGGAGAATTTCAGGCGCTAAATTTCACATGTTGTCTTAGACTCTGCACTTCTAAAAGCACTAGAGCCTGGCCGGCATGGCTCAGTGGTTGAGCATTGACCTATGAACCAAGAGGTCACGGTTCGATTCCTGGTCAGGGCATATACCCAGGTTGTGGGCTCGATCCCCTAAATGGGATATGCAGGAGGCAACCAATCAATGATTCTCTCTTATCATTGATGTTTCTCTCTCTCCTTTCCTCTTCTTCCTCTCTGAAATCAATACAAATATATTTAAATAAAATAAAAAATGAAAGCACTAGAAGTTACCCAGAGAAGAAAAAAGACTTACTGAGTGGAGGAAATTTAGCCAACAATCTTGCATCTCACCAGGGATTTTGTTAGCAGTAACTGGACCATCGCGCCCACAGTTTCTAGTTTAATCACGTGACATTTATGGGAAGGCTTGTTATGTGTTAAGCAGTGGGTTAGTATCTTGGAACCACCGCAGTAAATAATATTCACAGGAACATGTTGGATGCTATCCTGCAGGTTACACCTCCTAGCCCTCAGGTCTGGGGAGGTGGGTGTTATCCTATTTCTGTGGGGAAAACAGAGGCTCTGAGAGTCAGAAACCTGGCCCAGGGCACGCCGAAGGTGAATGGCAGGGCCAGGGTAAACACCCATGCTGGTCGGAGTCCAGGACCCAAGGACTTTACTGAGATTTACTGGCTTTTAAGGAAATAATGACAGGTGGCTTATAACAACTAAATAATTGTTGCACGAACTGCCTTAACAAGTGGGCTGCTGGTCTAAGCAGTGTTTTCTCTCCCATCTCCAGGTTTATTTCCAACCCACCTAGACCTTCCCCGCCTCCCCCCTAACCCCCGCAGCCCTAACCCAGCTGCTTACCTGATTCC